CTAACAGTCCTACTGACTACAAAAACACCTCCATTTCTAACAGTCCTACTGACTACAAAAACACCTCCATTTCTAACAGTCCTACTGACTACAAAAACACCTCCATTTCTAACAGTCCTACTGACTACAAAAACACCTCCATTTCTAACAGTCCTACTGACTACAAAAACACCTCCATTTCTAACAGTCCTACTGACTACAAAAACACCTCCATTTCTAACAGTCCTACTGACTACAAAAACACCTCCATTTCTAACAGTCCTACTGACTACAAAAACACCTCCATTTCTAACAGTCCTACTGACTACAAAAACACCTCCATTTCGAACAGTCCTACTGACTACAAAAACACCTCCATTTCTAACAGTCCTACTGACTACAAAAACACCTCCTTTTCTAACAGTCCTACTGACTACAAAAACACCTCCATTTCTAACAGTTCTACTCTCTCAATCAGTTTTTAACAAACTTTGCAATGAACCCACTTTGGGCAAACTTTAAGAAAATAAGGAAATCTTCCATCTTTTTTTTAAATCTGTGTCTTATTCCTGGTTTTCAACAATTCTACAAAGCTACTTGTGTCACGATTCTTTCCTTGTGGACGTCCTTGGCTTGACTAACACGCTCAGTCCAGAAAGATTCAGAGCAGTAAATCCATGTTCATTAAATGATTAACAACCTGATTACTCTGTAGGGCACCCTTACCTTGATGCAGGACACTAATAAAAATGTGTTGATGAAGGTTTATTCAAAATATGAAGTGAAACTAAAAATTATTTTGGGACTTTCACATTTAACTAGAAAATGGACCAAACGTTCAGTTTCTCTGTTCATTGTGCTTACTGAATGTAACACCAAAGATCTGCCAGTATACCAATTTTGTATGTCTATAACAATTCACAATCAAATGAAAAATCACACAATATACTGATTCACGTATACCATTAACCAAAGATTCAAATAGATAAATTGTACATCAATAACTACATATAGATAGAGCTCTCAAATTTTCTATTTGTAGGTTCCGTTGAAGCTATATTTTACTTTTCAACCTTTAAAGTATGAAGATTCTCCATAAACCAATATTTTTATAGTCGGCCTACAAGTATGTAAGCTCCCGGGAATCCTACATTATCCTGATCAGTCTTATGTAGACTTCAAACCTTTATTTTCTATTGCTCCACAAGAGAATGGAGACTCCCGTGAAAACTTTACTTTTTGTTTATCAACAAGAGAATGGAGACTTCTGTGAAAACTTTACTTTTTGTTTATCAACAAGAGAATGGAGACTTCTGTGAAAACTTTACTTTTTGTTTATCAACAAGAGAATGGAGACTCCCATGAAAACTTTACTTTTTGTTTATCAACAAGAGAATGGGGACTCCCGTGAAAACTTTACTTTTTGTTTATCAACAAGAGAATGGAGACTCCCATGAAAACTTTACTTTTTGTTTATCAACAAGAGAATGGAGACTCCCATGAAAACTTTACTTTTTGTTTATCAACAAGAGAATGGGGACTCCCGTGAAAACTTTACTTTTTGTTTATCAACAAGAGAATGGAGACTCCCATGAAAACTTTACTTTTTGTTTATCAACAAGAGAATGGAGACTTCTGTGAATACTTTATTCTTTGTTTATCAACAAGAGAATGGAGACTCACGTGAAAACTTTACTTTTTGTTTATCAACAAGAGAATGGAGACTCCCATGAAAACTTTACTTTTTGTTTATCAACAAGAGAATGGGGACTCCCGTGAAAAATTTACTTTTTGTTTATCAACAAGAGAATGGAGACTCCCATGAAAACTTTAAGTTTTGTTTATCAACAAGAGAATGGAGACTTCTGTGAATACTTTATTCTTTGTTTATCAACAAGAGAATGGAGACTTCTGTGAAAACTTTACTTTTTGTTTATCAACAAGAGAATGGAGACTCCCATGAAAACTTTACTTTTTGTTTATCAACAAGAGAATGGAGACTCCCATGAAAACTTTACTTTTTGTTTATCAACAAGAGAATGGGGACTCCCGTGAAAACTTTACTTTTTGTTTATCAACAAGAGAATGGAGACTCCCATGAAAACTTTACTTTTTGTTTATCAACAAGAGAATGGAGACTCCCATGAAAACTTTACTTTTTGTTTATCAACAAGAGAATGGGGACTCCCGTGAAAACTTTACTTTTTGTTTATCAACAAGAGAATGGAGACTCCCATGAAAACTTTACTTTTTGTTTATCAACAAGAGAATGGAGACTTCTGTGAATACTTTATTCTTTGTTTATCAACAAGAGAATGGAGACTCACGTGAAAACTTTACTTTTTGTTTATCAACAAGAGAATGGAGACTCCCATGAAAACTTTACTTTTTGTTTATCAACAAGAGAATGGGGACTCCCGTGAAAAATTTACTTTTTGTTTATCAACAAGAGAATGGAGACTCCCATGAAAACTTTAAGTTTTGTTTATCAACAAGAGAATGGAGACTTCTGTGAATACTTTATTCTTTGTTTATCAACAAGAGAATGGCAACTTCTGTGAAAACTTTACTCTTTGTTTATCAACAAGAGAATGGAGACTCCCCTGAAACCCTTATTTTCCTGTTTGGCCTACATAGTATACTGACTCCCCTGAAACCCTTATTTTCCTTTTCGGCCTACATAGTATGCAGACTCCCCTGAAACCTATACTTTCCTGTTTGGCCAACATAGTATGCTGACTCCCCTGAAACCTATACTTTCCTGTCTGGCCTACATAGTATGCAGACTCCCCTGAAACCCTTATTTTCCTGTCTGGCCTACATAGTATGCAGACTCTCCTGAAACCCTTATTTTCCTGTTTGGCCTACATAGTATGCTGACTCCCCTGAAACCTATACTTTCCTGTCTGGCCTACATAGTATGCTGACTCCCCTGAAACCCTTATTTTCCTGTTTGGCCTACAAAGTATGCAGACTCCCCTGAAACCCTTATTTTCCTGTTTGGCCTACATAGTATGCAGACTCCCCTGAAACCCTTATTTTCCTGTTTGGCCTACATAGTATGCTGACTCCCCTGAAACCTATACTTTCCTGTTTGGCCTTAGTAGTGTGTTGCTGATCCATGTTGAGATGCCGACCAATTCACACTGTTACAGCTAACTTCTGAGGATAAACACCTGGTGTTACAGTCCATTACTTTTTACATCCCTGTACCCATGTTTACACAAACAGGTGCTTAATCTACACACATGTACTTCTTGCCAGTACATTGGAGATTCTTTTTAAAGAAATGGATTTCAGAGAAAGTGTGCACATAATGGTTTTTCTAATTCAAAACTATAATCTGGCCAAATATATCATATTTCACAATTAACAGACAAAATATCCTTTCATGGTGTGGTCTATGTCTGAGCACTAGTGTAGTTTACCAACGCACATGGAATTCTCAAACTCTACAATTCTACCTTTACATAACTAAATATGCCTTTCTTATACCTAGACTATTCCCTGGCTTCATTTTAGTTTTATACAGTAGATATAAGACAATTTAATGGGTATGAATGAAGGGGAAAGATTATCTATTAGATTAATACAGCAAGATATTTCTTTCTGGAGACTTTCGGGCTGGTGACCAGACTATTTAGCACCAAGCCAATGTTGAGTATGAAGTGTTGGTCTGTACTTGGTTGGGACAAATAATGCCTTAAACCTTGATGTAAAATAAGATTTATTTTGTAAGCAACTCAAAATGTGTTAAGAAAAATTGATACACTTTCATGTTCAGAAGCAATCTATGGGGTGCGTTTAGGGATGTGCTTTTGAGTGTCAGGGTCAGAGGAAACTTTGGCAATGATAAAAAAGTAAAGACACTGATACTATTTATAGATCCTGAGCAACAGGAAACAAAGTCTGATGGGAAAATTAAAGGAAATGTCATTAGCTTGTTTGTCTTAATTTAGATAGCAATATCTTTGTATAAAAGGGTAAATTAGATATCGGCATTGATTAACAATATCTAACCAAGGAAAGGTGTTTAGACATTTCATCAGACTAGCCCTGGGAAAGGTTATAACCAGTATCATTCACATCACAACTTATCATGAGAACCTAACAGTTGAATGTGTGATCTCAATCATGACACAAAAACACATCTACAAAATTGTCCCCCGGAGACAAAAGAGATCAAATTTTATCACATATAAACAGTGAAGTTTCACTTAGGTGATGTATCCTCCCTATGGAAAGTCCTTCCTTCCCACAAAATTTGTCACCTGTATTATATACCTGTACGGTACATATGCCTGTACATTGTGTTTCCTGTACAGTATTTTACCTGTAAATTGGGTTTTTATATGTATTATATACCTGTAAACTATTTTACCAGTGCAGTACTTACTAGGGATGTCAATACAATAGAACTTGCTATTTGAATATTCATTTGCATGTAGATTCCATATGGTATGCTACTTTCACTTTCAGACTCAGAGAGCAGTCACTTAACCTTGGCACAGAGTGCTATTTAAAATATCATTTTCCTCTTCAAATACCATCCTACCAAACAAATACTTCAAGATTTGTTGTCATCTGTAGTATTTACTTGTAAACTGTATTACCTGTAAAGTATCTTACCTGTTAGCTGTGTTACCTGTAGAATATTTACCTGTTTATTTTTACCTGTTAATTACTATATGTACAGTATTCACCTGTAAACTGTGTTATCTGCAGAGTATATACCTGTAAACAGTGTAACCTGTAAAGTTTTTACCTTTAGACCATGCTACCTCTAGAGTATATACCTATACTTTGTCTTACATGTATAGTAATTACCTGTAAACTATGTTATCTGCAGAGTATATACCTGTAAACAGTGTTACCTGTACAATATTTACCTGTTATATGTGTTACATATACATTATATACCTGTAAACAGAATTACCTGAACATAACATTTTATTTAATTGTAAACCTATCAAGGCTACCTGTTAACAGATAACATCACTAAATTATGTCTTATGTCTTACCTCGTCATTGTTGGTGCCTTTGAAGTTGTGGAGAGCTTTCACTCGCTTTGGTTGCTGTTGGTTTGGTTCCACCATCTTGATGAATTTTGGTTTTGGTTTGAGTTCTGGTTTCTTGTTGAGAGGAGGTGGAAGTTCGGGTTTTTTGTTTAGAGGGGAAGGACACTGCGGTTTCTTGGTTAGAGGAGGTGGTGGCTCTGGTTTCTTGGCCTGAGGTATAAGATTAGCAGTAGCAGTAGCTGTCACATGGGTACGTGTGACATTTATTGCTTCATATGCATTTTCCTTGACATCCTGAAACTCTTCATAAATTGGTTCGTCCTCAAGTGTTTCAGGTTTGTCAACATCAACTCTGATGATGGTGTTTCTTGGGGACACAAATGGGGTGGAGTCTTCTGATTCCCCTGTGAGTACCCCCCCTTCCTCTGCCTCCCCCTCAGGCTTGTGATCCCCTAGGGTGGGGCAGTCCGCCTGCTGTTTGACAGCTTTTTCTTCCTCTTCCCTCTGCTGTCCTCGCTCCTCTAAAATAGCAATAAAGTCATTGATTTCATTCACAATCACATCAAAATCATCCGACAATTCTGTGCTAGAGGTTTGCTTTTGTTTAGCCTGTTTATCCATCTCTCCTGGTACAGAGGATGAAATAGACAAGGATTAACACCAGATCTTATATCAGAGATAAGCCCTCATCTTGAGAGCAAGAATTTATCCCTGAAAAACCTTGTCATGGTAGAATCTAGTAGCACTCAAGCCCAGATATTTGGTAAAGGAGGCTGGTGAGATGTTGTTAAGATTCAAAACTCCAAAAGATTTCACTACAGACTTTTTCCTGATTCACTTTAGACTGAGGCTCACTTTGGGTAAACACAGAAGAATGCACTTGGAATGTCTAAATAATTACACAGAGCATCAAATATAAATCCATCCCTGATTTCCAATTTCCTGTGAAGTCAGAAACTAAGATGTGGCTCTACATGCCAATGGTAAAGAGTGGTACACTACAGCGACTGTGGAGCTGACATAATGCTCAGGATCTCAACTTGATGTTAGATAAACAAGATGTAAATTGACCCAGAGTAACCTCTCTGGATATGTCAGCCTCACTGATTGGCTACTTCTCATGCTCGTGCTGATTGAGGGGGGTCACCAGGGGGTAATGTGTATCTATCAAAGATCAAACTCCCTGTATCCCACTTCTATACGCACATATCCCTACTTAAAGGTATGACATAGCAGGTATAAGTCAGTGAACTCTGTCCATGTACAGTTTCACTTTTTATTTTCGCGTCTACTGAATCTGGCTAAAGAGATGCAGTGCTGCCAAAAATTAAGAACCTTTGAGAACTTCAGACCCAGACAACCTATCTATAAATAGTGGAGATGCCTGTAAGCAATAGATGATCTAACGATAATGTACTGCTCCAGTAGCAGCTAGTCCATGGACATAAAGCCTGGAAGAGTTCTACATGGATTTTACTAGTGGTTTGTACAGTTTTACACAGGATATACACTGATCAACAGGAAAAGCTGAAGGAGCCAGATGTTAAAATGATCCAGTAAGGCTGGTGGATCAGAGAAAAGGGGAGATAATGAAGCTGTGAGGGAGTACTGCTGATAAGATATCTAATTTGGGGTCTATGTTTGATAGGTTGGATTCCAGTAGGGGAAAGAGATTGGAAATCTGATAACGGTGGAATGTAGGCAATCAGGTCTAAGGTTGTCTGATGCTTAATGTACATGTTATAGGATACTAAAAACGCCAGAATTAACAAAACATCATCACTTCACTATAAAAAGATTATCACTAAAAATTAACTTATATAGTAAAACTAAAGCAAGATTAATGCATGTGCTAGTAGAAAGTTTATCCTAAATATCATAAAACATGTTAATTTTGCCACACACAAATTAAATATTTCACTTTATGTGTCAAAATTGGATTATCTTATTTTAGATATATTAATCATTGAAGAGAAACTAGAAATAGTTATCGCTCATTTTCAATTAAAATTTTGCAGTTTCAATATTCACTGTGCAATCTTATCGTGAAAATAGAGAAAATTTGACATTGATGAGAAAAAAAACTGTTATAAGGTACATAGTTATAGAGAAAACACTTACAGGAAACACAAGTATATTTCATAATACGAATGGACTCTATCACTTGTAAAAAGTTACCACATCTTGTTATTTACCTGGTTTTAGTGTATCAACAAGGATTGGTATCAGACACCAGTCTTTCTATTTCAAACCTTTCGCTAACTGGCTTATACATGTACCTCTGGAATCACATGAGTTCTGATATTATTTTAGTAAGTCAGTTGGCGGAAATGAGGTAATAAAAACAAAATTGCATGCGTGAGTCATAAGGCCAACAAAAGTATACCTGTGTTTCATGTTTACCTCAAGGTCCCATGGTGTGTACCAAAAGTAGTCTTTGTACCAGTAAATATAGAAGTTATAATTCTAATGGTTGCGTATCGTTTCAAATTTAACCTGTAGGTACAGGAATATTTAGCTTCACTTAAATGCTTTTCTTAGATAAAATGTTTGAGTAAAAATCACAAATTTGGTCTACCTATTAAGTTAGAACAAAGGAAACTACAAACAATGCCAATTTATTCTGCACCTGGTGCCTTGATTGAAAAAGGGCAATTATATCACATTCTGTGTATCTACAGTACACACATTCATCAATGACATACAAATGGATATTCACAATTGTAAACACTTGATGTACTGGAAGTAATTACTTACTAGGATTTGAACCCAGGACTTCTGGTTTACTAGTCTTAAACTCAACTGTAGAGCTAAGTATTTAACAACTATTATTTTACTAGGGTTACACATAAGTGTAGGGCCAACATGTACATTTTGCATATGTTCATAAATAATGATGAATGTTTAATTTCACTTTTATCTAAATGTAAATATCAGAGAGCAGCTTAATGCAGAGTTTACCTGTAGGACTAAAATCTGATGCTTAATTCTAGAGAGAATGACAAGTTGTGTGTACATTTTGCATTTATTTTCTTACTTGCAGCTTATATAATCACACAATTAACATTTGAGGACTTCACTGATAAGAAGCTTCTTCCCCTTATTCACATTCTCCCTTAAGAGGTTGTATCAGAATACCAGTATGAAGAATTGCTATCCTGCACCAGAAATAAATTAAATTTAATCTAAATTTGTAATTATTATTAAAGATTTATAAGAAATTGTTAAATTTTAACATTCAACATTTATCACAAATGATTGATAGTTACGCTGACTTTTGAGATTAATAGAATATATTGGTACAATATGGTACTTTAACATTTAGATAACTGTGTTTATCTTTTAATAAGCCCAGGCCTAGTAGTCAATAAATAGCCTATGATTCAACATCTGAGGATGAGTCTATAACTGGACAGTGAAATATTACTTTGTAATTCTACAAGACAAACAGCTACGGATATAGATAGGCGTATTTCCAGGCATGTGCTTACTACCAGGCAAACTCATGGCAACCCTTACGATTCTGACTTGTGTCACACCACAGGTGATTAATTTACATACATATATCTACAAGTCCGGGATGAATGATACATTCTTTTCTAAATCTGGAAAAATTAACATGCTATAAACATGGAATGCCTCGTTATTTGTGGAAGATGTCCCAATATCTTAAAATGTAGATAAATCACATCAACACTGACAATGCTCGAGACATACTGATATGATCTCAACAATGACCTCATCAGTATTAGCTTTAAGCTTAAGTCTTTTTTAAATTCTAAATATATAAACCACATGTACCAGGTAAACTCAGTAAAATCATGATAAACAATTTCTAGTCACAGTGCTCCACTTTAACTCAATGATCCAGAGTATGTCAATGTTTCAATCAACTATTATCCATTAATTGTTTTTCCTACTTTTCACAGTAAAATGTGTATAGGTTGTTTAATGTTTGAGATACAGAAAATCTACAAGAAGTACAACGGTCTAAGGGAGATAACTGATGTTCTCTTTGTAGATCTGTTGTATCAATATCAATAAAATAAAGTTGAACACTTGACACAATCCAGAACCTATTCATTCCCTATAAAAGAATATGATTTCATTTGTTTCACAACACACATACCAGTTTTATATTGTCTAAGCATAAAATATGACAGCTATTCTCTCAAAAGGATTTTGAATCACTGATTATTTTCAGTTGCTAAGCTTCCTGAAAACTAAAATAGTATTATCATGTAACAATAAATGTTTCAGGTAAAAAATTACAGCCACCAATTGCATAACAGTCAAGACTTCAGGTGTGCACACAATGAAAGCTAGGATACAGGACAAGCTAAAAAGGATTAATGATTTTGTCTGCACCTTTATTTAATATTTTCTATAAAATAGCTCACTAACATTAAATTTAAACAAAGTATTGAATAAACTTCATGGTAAAAATATCACTCCAAACTTGTGATTACAAACAAAATAATAAAAAAGTGATCAGTATGTACCATAGAATGCATACATACTATCAAACTTTTTTCCCAAATATATGAAAATGAATTTACTGAAGTATATTTTCTGAAATTTAGTAGCCAGTTATCTATATTTGAAGCATTGGGACAATTTCCACTAAATACAAACAGAATAACAGGACATTTCACCCACATGGCATGTTATATTTTCAAATATTTTATGTCACAGGCCACATAGGTAAATTAATTAATTTTTCAGGAATGAATGACTTGATTAACTACCTGTGGGTAAAACAATGGTACCCTGCAATAACACTTAAAGAATACACTTCTAAAAGCAGTATATGTAACTGTCCCTCAAAACACAGGACAGGACCATTACCCATAATGGCCATATTGCAGAGTTGTGCCCAACCTGTCAGTGTGACACCGTTATACACACAATATCAAACACGCCCTCAGACTCACTATACGTGTTATTGTCTTCATGAGAGGGGTGTGGCACATTCTAACCGGTCTTAATAAACATGCTGTCTTTTTGTTGTCGTTACTTATGACACCTTTCTAGGGTTAGATTTCTGTTCTGTGTAAGTCAAGCATTAAAAGTAACAACGAATATTTAATTATCAGCCGAGAGAAGATAGTTAAGTTCCAAAAGGAATTCTTCAGTTTGGTGAAAGCGAAAGTGTACATCCTGTTTTGATTTCGTCTACCGGAGCAACTGAACTCTTGACACTCACATATTTAAACACATTGAGGAATACAAAAATTACATGGGTATAATAGCACATGCGAGACTACCTAAGGCACATCAAAAATCTTTTTAAAACGACAAATATCAAAGAACAGAGTGAGTGTGTTCTGTGATGGTTATCGTGTTTTCATGTGCTATTATTTAAGATAGTTTCGACAAGACGTAAGCTTACCAGAATGTCTTGTGTGTTGCTGGGTTGTTGTTTTGTACCCTGGTCGTTATGAGTCAAGTAATGTGTAAAATACCGTGTGCATGCAGCTACAGTGCATGTGTTATTGTTTTCACTAGTACAGTGGCTGAAAAATGGCGGAAGCAGAATGAAAATGACGTCATACACGGGAGACAACTCATGAAAGTTTACAACCTTCTCCGATAAGTGCAGTACTGGCTCAAGAAATAGCGGTTTGGAAATCGTCAACGGAGTTCAGTGATCCACAGAATATATGACTATTTGTTAACTTCGGTGTTTCAAAATATGCTTATATACAAATGTTATTTGTGATAGTACGTTGCCAAGGACATAATTTGATTTTTGGATCCAAATTTGATTGTTTTATTTATTTTTTTGCATTACGTGCTAATATTCATCGTCATTCTCCGGAATATTTCTACATTAGAGTAAATGAAATGTTCATGTACACTACAGGTACAACGTGGGTCTGCATACTAACTTTGGTACAACGTGGGTCTGCATACTAACTTTATCAATGGGTGATTTAATTCAA